GCTGGGCCTGGGGGTGCTGAGCCTGGGGGTGCCGTGCCTGGAGGTGCTGTGTCTAGGGGTGCTGAGCCCGGGGGTGCTGTGCCTGGGGGTGCTTCGTCTCGCCGGGAGCCACTCTCCCCACAGGAGCTGCGTGAGTGGTTTGCCGGGCGCTGGAGGCGTGCTGCTGGTGCTGGTGGTTCTTCGGCTGCAGAGGGCACTGCTGTTGCGCGCCCCGCCGGTGCTCGTACTGTGGGTGCTGGAGCTGCTGAGTCTGAGAGTTCTCCTGGAGCTGGTCCTGCTGAGGGTGTTGGCGCTGAGCCTGCCGTTGGCGGCCCGACTGACAGTGCTCCTGGTGCTGCGGCTGGAGGTTCTGGAGCTTCTGGTGGTGCTGCTGGAGGTGCTGCTGGAGTGGGTGCTCCTGCCGGGGCTGCTGGTGCTGTTCCTGCTGTTTCTAGCGTCGCCGCGCGGCCCCGACCGTACTTCGTTCCGCTCCTGGAGCAGGTTCTTGGTCATCCACCTCCTCCTCCTCCCTTAGAGGGTCCGCAGCCTGTCCGGTCACAGCCACAGCTACAGCCTGCCTCCCCTTTGCCTGCTCCTTCTCCCTACGCTGGTCCGACTGGAGGTCTTACTGAGCGTCGTGAGCCTGCGTCTCGTCCTGTGTCGCCTGTTCGTACTGAGCGCGCTAGTGGTCGCGGGTCGCGTCAGCGTCCTCCTCCTGTCCCTGGCACGCACCGGATGTCACTGCGTCCGTCCACTGCTCCTCTGCGTGCCCCTTTGCCTTCTCCTCCTGCTTCCTCTCTTCCTGCTCTTGCCGACCCGGAGTCGGACGCTCTTCGTGCTGCCAGTCCTACTGTCACGCGTCTCCTGGCTACTGCTGTCACTGACCCCTCCTTCGAGTTGTCTGCTGCGTCTGCCCTTGTCACTGAGCTTGTCGACTTTGCTGCGCGCTGTCGTCTAGACTACGCTGCTCGTCTTGTCACTGAGTCTGAGTCCGCCTGTCCTCCGTCCGTCGGGGGTGAGTGTGCCCTTGGCACGGACGTCCTTGAGGACAGGCAGGAGGAGTTCCAGTGTCTGGCCGCCGCTTCACCTCGTCTCGCGTCTGTACTGCTAGCCCCTGAGGGAGACCCGGATGCACCAGACATCCCGACTCCGCGCTCTTACGCGGAGGCGATAGAGGGTCCCTACTCCTCTCAGTGGCAGGCAGCTATGGATGCAGAGATGGCTTCCTGGAAGTCCACAGGCACCTACGTTGACGCTGTTCCCCCTCCTGGGGCAAACATCGTCAGTGGCATGTGGATTTTCAGGGTGAAGCGGCCGCCGGGTTCTCCGCCTGTCTTCAAGGCGCGTTACGTGGCTCGTGGCTTCAGTCAGCGGCAGGGGGTTGACTACTTTCAGACCTTCTCCCCCACCCCGAAGATGACCACTCTTCGGGTTCTGCTACACGTTGCTGCTCACCGTGACTACGAGCTGCACTCTCTCGACTTCAGCACAGCTTTCTTGCAGGGCAGCCTGCACGAGGAGATCTGGCTGCGTCGCCCACCTGGCTTCACTGGGTCTTTCCCTCCTGGTACCCTGTGGAGTCTCCGGCGTCCAGTCTACGGTCTCCGCCAGGCGCCACGTGAGTGGCACGACACACTGAGGACTACGCTCGCGGCACTTGGGTTGCTCCTTCCACTGCCGACCCGTCGCTGTTTCTGCGCACCGACACCTCTCTGCCGCCGTTCTACATCCTCGTGTACGTCGACGACTTGGTCTTTGCCACAGCTGACACTGCTGGACTCGCCTACGTGAAGTCCGAGCTGCAGAAGAGACACACGTGCACTGACCTGGGTGAACTGCGCAGCTACCTTGGCTTGCAGATCACCCGGGACAGAGCACGCCGCACCATTACCCTGACTCAGTCACACATGGTGCAGCAGGTCCTTCAGCGCTTCGGCTTCACGTACTCCTCGCCTCAGGCCACTCCTCTGCCTACTCGCCACTCGCTCTCAGCTCTGCCTTCGGATGAGTCCGTAGAGTCGAGTGGCCCGTTTGCAGAGCTTGTTGGCTGCCTCATGTACCTGATGACCTGCACACGACCTGACCTCGCATACCCTCTTAGCATTCTCGCACGCTTTGTTGCTCCTGGGAGACACCGACCAGAGCACATGGCTGCAGCGAAGAGGGTGTTGCGCTACTTGTGCAGTACGTCGGGCATGCTGCTAGTGCTTGGAGGGCGCAGTCCAGTGGTCCTCACTGGGCACGCAGACGCTTCTTGGGCTGACGACCAGGCTACGCAGCGGTCGTCACAGGGTTACACCTTCAGCCTTGGTTCCGGCTCTGTCTCGTGGCGGGCTACCCGCTCGTCTTCTGTTCTCGGCTCCAGTTGTGAGGCTGAGATCTACGCTGGGGCTATGGCTGCACAGGAGTTACGCTGGCTCACCTACCTGCTGACCGACCTTGGAGAGCAGCCTCGTTCTCCTCCAGTCCTGTACGTAGACAACAAGGCCATGCTGGCCTTGTGTCGAGAGCAGCGACTGGAGCACAGAACGAAGCACATTGCTCTTCGCTACTTTCTTGCTCGTGAGCTACAGCAGCGTGGACAGCTGCGACTTGCGTACGTGGCCTCTGAGGCCAACACTGCTGATGTCTTCACCAAGGCACTTGCGCCTTGTGATCATCAGCGTTGCTGCACGCAGTTGGGTCTTGTGCCTGTCTTGCCTCACTTGCTCTCCTCTTGACCTTGCTTGTAGTTTCGCATATATATACTCTTGCTCTTGTATATCTCTATATATGATCTTGCATGTGAACTGGCCTTGTGGCCTTTGAACTTGTGCTCGGAATGCGTGGTGACTTTGTGATCCACCCTGAGCTTTGCTTTGCTTTGCTTGACCGGTCTTGTGACCCCTTGTTCTCCCCCACTTTGCCTATGGGGGTGTGTCAGAACTTATAGCTTACTTGTTTCTGTAGGCTATAGTGGGGTATCCCATAGGGGGTACAACCCAATTAGGGTTTCCTATTTGTACTCACTTCGTTCATAGTCATTTCACTTCTCGTTCGTACTTTCTCATCCGCCACCCCACGGGAATCAGGAGGATTGAATTCCTCGTTCGCTGGAAAGACCGCACGCCAACTGAAGATAGCTGGGTGCCCCTGAGCAACATCGAAAATCACCCTGCCCTGCAAGTGTACCTGAGGAGCCGGGGATTCCGCGATATACACGCACTCGCGTAGCGGAGGGGGCTTCTTGAGGGGGGGGGGTAGTGTAAGGAATTTTCTCGGCATTCCTTACGGAGCCGACTACATCGCGTACAGCAACAGCCGATTGTTCGCCCGTCACTGGTAACGGAACTTCGCCGACTTCGCGCGCACTGTTTTACCAAACCTCGCACTGCTGGCATGGCCGTATCGGCCTACGCTTCGGGACTAGCCCGAGCCTCGCTCCAGCGTAGCACTAGCAAGCTCGCACGCACCGCGTTACCGTTTTGCATGTTCGCGTATAAATGTTCGCTCATGCCTTCGCTCACATTTTGTACTCGTTTGACACCTTAGTGCAATTCTCGCTACCTCGAATCATTGCACCCGTAACAATGTCACAGTACCTATTGTTCCCTCACCCCAGTGACTATGCCGCAGGCAATGTTGGGCCACCATTGGGCCAAACCAGACCAGCAACCAGAACCTCATTCCACGTGCCTCGCCCTCAGATCACAAACCACAAGGGCTCACGTCGGTGGTCGGCTCGGTGGTGCAGTCGGGTGGCCTTGGGAACTGCAATCAGGGGCTGTCTGACAGGTTTGATTGGGGGAATGTCGTGTCATGCCTGGCAGGCTGATTCGTCACGTGTAGTGCGAGCAGGCTGGGAGCGGCATCTCTGCCTTCGATGCTTCTGCTTCGGCCATTATCTCCGATACTCATATTTTTCCTGAGCGCGTTCTCAGGTGTAATCAACCTGGACATTCTCAACTTTGATTGGTCGTCGCTGTTTAGTCACATTTTTTACGCTGGTCGAAATCTTTAAGAAGCGACAAAAACAAAACTATATAGTTAACCCTCCCGACCTGGATTTGTTAAATTGAAGTACGTAAATTTACGACGGGGCAGACAAACTAAACCCCTATAGAATCTGGACGAATTTTCGGGAGGGATCAACCCTAAACACGGGAAAGGGCATTGTTTTAGGGTTGATGCCTCCCGAGTCGCATCCCATTCCGATTAAGTGTTTTTTTTGGGTCAAGAAAGTGCAATATATCTCTCCTGAAGTGGGCGGCTTCCCGAGTTAGGGTTGATCTGTCTCGAAATTCATCTAGGTTCGCTACAAGTTTTTTTTTTTAAGGTGCTGCAATTTCTGTAGTGACTGTATTCAGAAAACAACAAGAAACACTTACTACTATATCGCAAAACTGTGTTTCTGTTGGTGATTACACCTGAGAACCCGCTCGGGAATACTTTCAGTATCTATGATATTGGCCGCACTTTCTGCCATCACCATTTGCGCTGCCCTCGATTTCCACTTTCCTCGTTCTACTTTCTCAACTCAAGCCGCAAACCGTTTCTTACATTACCACTAATCGTCGATTTACCTTAGCTTCTCTCGCTCGTCTTAGCGTATCAACTCTCTATCACAATCCACCTTCCGCTGTTCAGAGAAATCGACGTCGTGTTCGTAGGTGCGAAGCGAAGCGTTTTTAGGTCATGATAGTTGACGACTTCGATCAGTCGAACGACGTTTATCTTTCGCGCGCGCCGGAGGATGTCATCATTTCGCGGAATGGAGCGGTGCTGGGAAAGAAGACCATCTTAAAGAGCGACCACTTCCCTGGATGTCAGAACAAACGCCTTTTGCCTCACATCGACGGAGCTCCCAACTTCCGCCAGGTTCGACTTTCGCATCGTCCAATGAAACTCGGCATGCGGTTATCCGAGCGCGCCTCGTTGCCTCGCGGCTTTCTTGGTGACTCTTTAGGTAGCGTTTTATTCTTCATCAGCTTGATCGATTAATCTATACTCGTCCTTGTATTTCTCTCTTCTTTCCTCCGTAGATTGCGGACCTTCCGGTGTACGGCGTGGCCATTCCGACGGTAGAGGGAATTCGCAACGTGCTGCAGATAGTGGGAGCTTCGCGCAATGGCGGACGGCACGTCCTCTGGCACAGCATGCGCGAAGAACCAGTAATTCCTCGCGCTTGAGCGTCGCTCGAGTAGATTGACACCCGTGGTAGCCACCGCAGTTTCAGGATACGAAGAGCAGTTTTTTAGTATAGCATCAACAGTTCTGAGATATCATTTTCCAGCTCCCAGTACAGCATGACTGTTTCCCAGATTAGCATAGCGGATGCAGGATAAGATTGACAATACCAGAACAGCGGGTTTTAGTTTTTCTTTCTCAGAAATAGTATTTTTTAAAATAATTTTTTTTTTTTAAAAAAGGAGCGCATTCACCTTTTTTGGAGCGCACTGACCTTTTTAGAATGGCGTTGGCGGGATTAAAGCTTCATTTAGTTCCGTTCTCTCTATTTCACAATAGAGTTGTCCATTTCAGAATCTCATTGACCTTTTCAAGGTAGGGTTGCTGTTCTCAGGTTACCGCTTACATCAAGGCCAGCACTGGCCATGTGACGATAGCTTTCCCTTTTCAATGTAGAACTGACACTACAGAGTAGCTTTGACTCAATGTGGCGTGCTTCCGTGCCATGGCATGGCAGGTCATCTACATCAATGGTCGCCCCTTCGTGCTGCGCGAGGTTGAGAGGCCGTTTACGAACCTCGAGTACACTGTGAGCACCACAACCCTGAATGCGCAGGGGGGCAGTGACATCGAAAGGAATGCGCTGTAGGGCTGTGAGTCTGCGCAGGTGACATGGGAACCCCTTGGCAAAACAGAGAATCTGTGAGGCACAACAGAAATTGCATTGTGTTTTGAAGAGCAGCCGGCTCTCTTGTGTGGCGCACGTCTATCTCATGTAGTCCGTTCAAGCCTTTTCTGCGGAAGGCACGTTGATTCTCTACTGTTGTTGGGGCTGACTGTGTGCGTGTGGCTGGCATGGCAGGGCATCAACCGGGCGAGAGTGGAGCAGATGGAGGCTCGGCTGAAGAAGGATGTGCTCCGGGAGGCGGGCAGGTGAGCAACGGGTCAGGTTGGGGTCGCCATGCAGTCGCATAAGACTCGTAGGTGAAGGAAATTGTGCTGGTGAGGAGCCTATATTACCGTAACCTATGCATCGTGATGTTCACCCTGCCTGAAGCAACACGTAGAGTGTACGCTCTCTTGCTTTGCATGCTGTGGTATTCGTGGTGGGGTAGCATGCCTCCATGCAGCAACCGTGCTACTTTCCCTCATGCACAGCACAGCTGATGGCGAGTAATGAGCAGCTGCCTGGCCTGGCGGAAGATGGTGCACCAATGGGCCCCTTCTGAGGCTCACATATGCTCCTGTTTGTCTGTGTGCATTTGCGTGCGTTTGTGCGCATGTGCGTGGGCCTGCATGTGTGTGTGTGGTCACGTGCATGTGTGCATGTGTGCATGCAGGTACTCCAACAAGATCATGGTGAGCGATGAGCTGCCTGACGGCCAGATGGTGGACCAGTGGGAGCCCGTCGGCCCTGACTCCGTGCAGACGCCTCTCGAGGTCACCTCCCTTCCCCTATTCTCGTCAATTTCTCATGCTGACGGACCTGCCAGCTTTCGCACTGCACTTTGCCATCATGACTCGCTTCGCTCTGGCACTGTGTTTTGACGTCTGAGTTTGTCCGTGTGTGTGTGCACGTGGGGGTGTGTGTACGGTGCCATGCAATGCAGGTGTACGAGGATCTGCAGAGGCACGGGTACAATGTGGACTATGAGCGCGTGCCAGTCACAGACGAGAAGGTGCCTGAGGAGGTCGACTTTGACCTGCTGGTGAGCCTTCAGCCCTCTGCTGAGGATGTAATATCTTGTAAGCGAGATCTTGTCGTTTCCTTTGTCATCCATTTTGTTTCTGCCTCCCTCTCTCTCGTCTTGCCCACCTGTCTCCCCCCATCCCTGTCGCTCTGCACTTCCTCCTCTCTCCTCCACCCAATACCTCCCCACACCCTCTCTCTCCTCTCGCCTCCTCCCACGTCCCTCCACTCTCCCCTCCCGGTCCGTTCTCTCTCCGTGCGCGTGGCAGGTGGAGAGTCTGAGTGGGGTGGACGAGGGGACGGCACAGATCTTCAACTGCCAGATGGGGCGGGGCCGCACCACCACTGGCACTGTCGTCGCCACCCTCATCTGCCTCGCTCGCCGCTTCCCCTCCCGTCAGTTGCCATGCCATGCCGTGCCCTCCCGTCAGTTGCCATGCCATGCTCTCCTGTCACTGTTCATGGTTGTGCACGCTCGTGCTGTCTAGACTTTCAGTCAAACTCGTCAGTTGCCATGCGACGCGGCTCCCCGTCCCCTTCTTGTGTTCCCACTTATCTTGCAACAGCTCCATTATATATGTCATATCTGCCACCCACTTGTTCGTTCCCACTGTTACCACCTTGATACTGTGCTGGTTCGCATGGCCCCTGAGCAAGACATGCCAATTAGGTGCAGTGCTATCTCAGCTGGCATACGAGCTCCATGTATGTGATTTTGGCGACTGAATTTCGCATGGTGCATGTTTGTGTATGTGCGTGCCTGCCTGTGGGTGTATGCATGTATGCATGCTTTTGTGTGTGGGAGTGAATGCATGCATGCAGGCATCCTGTCGCCCTCAGCGGGCGCCAGCATGCTGGCCAAGGCGGCGTCCACAGCGGGCCATGAACCAGGCGGGGCTGCCAAGCTCATGCTGGGCACCACCACCCCAGGCAAGGCGCACGGCGGAGCAGAGGGGGCAGCGGCGGCGGCGGAGGCAGCGGAGGTGCAGGCGGGGGTGGAGCGCGTGCTCCTGGCAGGGCAGTACGCGGTGATCCGGTCGCTCACGCGCGTGCTGGAGGCGGGCAGTGAGAGCAAGCGACTCACCGACCTCGCCATCGACCACTGCGCCTCCATGCAGGTGACGTGCTGCCGTGGCAAGGGGCGAGACACGACTGGCGTGGGCAGGTGACATTGTGCCCTGGGAAGGGAGAGAGTGGCGTGAAAAGGGGTCAGGGGTGATCCTCCTGTACTGCTCTGTCCATGTATCATGTTGGTCCAATTCCTGTTTCAGAAGGAAAAGGCACGTTTCTCCCACTCATTCCCTCCCGTTTTTCTCTCTGCGTCTCCATTTCCAATGCCACTACTCACTCATCCCACCCCTGCTCCCACGCTCTCTTCAAAATCCCCCTCAGAACCTCCGTGAGGCCATCTTGGGATACCGCAACCGCATTCACCGGCACTCGGACGAGAAGAGGCGGCAGGCGGCACTGAACCTGTTTGTGGCGTACCTGGAGCGCTACTACATGCTCGTCTGCTTCTCCGCCTTCCTGCACTCCCTCACCGCCCCCTCCGCCTCCACCCCCTCCTCCATCACCACCTCCCAAGCCCTGCCCTCGCCCTCGCTGTCACACAGCAAGGCGGATGACACCCACTCCGCGCATGTGAGGGCGCAGGAGCCCCACACGCCATCCAAGGAGCGGTTCTCGCTGCTGGACGGGTTGGCAGCCACGCAGGCGCTGAGGGACGCCAAGGGCGGCTTCCAGCGCTGGATGAAGGCACGGCCGGAGCTCTACAGCATTCTCCGCAGGTACGCCCTCGCTCCCTGCACCACCTCAAGCTGCTGGAAACTGGTGGTGGCACTTCTCGTGGTGTAGATGTTACGCGTCGTAGACTCTAGAGTTTCGGTTGATCAAGAACAGTTTTGACGTGCGTACTTTGACTCAACACCATGCTGTGCATGTTCGTCTCTACCACCAACATCATCTGCACCATCTCCTCTACTCCCCTCTCCATGGCAGGCTGTTACGGAGAGACCCCATGGGAGCACTGGGGTATGCGCATCCAAAGCAGGCCAGCATGCCGCGAGGCCTCTCCTTCTCCCTACCTCATGCGGTCTCTTCCTCACCCACTCGTGATGCTACCACTGCCGTCGCTGCTCTCCACGCACCTGCTCCCACTGGCGCGGCTTCACTGCCAGCAGTGGCAGCAGCGGGGCAGGGAGAGGGAATGGAAGTGGAGGGGGCGGAGGTGGAGGCGGGGGACGTGGCAGGGGAGGCGTTTCGCATGGCGGAGATGGCGGCTGCCATTGTGGAGGCGCGCTCAGGGGCCATGCTCAGCAAGCAGGTGCGCTCAGGGGCCATGCTCAGCAAGCAGGTGCATCTGGCTATGCGTCAGTGTCAACGTTACATTCGCAGTTCTGCTACTGTCTTTGCTCCAATCTACTCGTTTCCCTTTTCCTCCATAAAGGTTGTAAAATGCACATGCACTCACCATTCCCTTCCTTTCCCCCCTCCGCCCCTCTCCTGCCCTTCCCACATTCACCTGCTTCCCCTGTCCCCTCTTTCCCCCCTTTCCTCACCCTCTCTCTCTCTCTCTCTCTCTCTCTCTCTCTCTCTCTCTCTCTCTCTCTCTCCCTCCCTCCCTCTCCGCCCTTCCCACTCCCTTCACGCCACCCAGACGGTGCTCAAGTCGGACCACTGCCCCGGCTGTCAGAACCTCTCCCTGCCGGAACTGCTGGAGGGCGCGCCCAACTTCCGCCAGGTGCACGGCCTGCCCGTCTTCGGCGTTGCCAACCCCACCATTGACGGCATCCGTGCTGTGCTGCGGCGCGTGGCGCACGCGGCAGGCAAGGGGAGCGGGGGCGCGGAGGGCGTGGAGCGGCGGGTGGTGTGGCACAACATGCGGGAGGAGGCGACGGTGTACGTGAATGGCAAGCCGTTCGTGCTGCGCGAGGCTGAGAGGCCGTTCAAGAACATGCTTGAGTACACGGTGAGACGTGTGAATGGACTTGGTAGCGCATACTGCATGCTGTGAGATACGGTGTGTTTCAAAAGATGTTGGCAGCTCCTGTGCATTGGGTCTAAATTGATAAACAGCCGCATTGGCATGAACCCAGTACTCCTGGTTTCGGCTTGGTTTCACCACTGTGCTCAAGGCGAGTCACCACCTCCCTGGTTGGAATTAAGTGTGCCAACATTGTAATTGGGTACGGTGAGACATGGGTTGAGGATGTACTGTGAGCCATGCAAGGAAGCGGGCAGATGGAGAGTGTTGTGTGATGAGGCGATTCTACACGCACGGAGTATTGCATGGGTAGAGGGCAGATTGAGAGCCACCAGTGTATGTTTATCCATGTGAGGAGCATCAGGGAGGAGTGATTCCCACCCAAGTTCATGCCTCTACTTGACTTCACAGCACACTGTGTCAACCCTCATGCATGCTTGCATGTGTGTGTATTGCTGTGTGCTGCATGCGCAGGGCATAGACCGGCAGCGCGTGGAGCGCATGGAGGCTCGGTTGAAGGGCGATGTGGAGAGGGAGGCGCAGCGCAGCGGGGGCATTGTGGTGGTGGACCATGAGAGCGACGCCGGGGAGCTCTTCCACGCGCTTGAACCCGTGCCCGCTGCCGCTCATGGCGCGCATGGTGCCTGTGTGCAGACCCCTTTGGAGGTCTTTCGTATGTTGCAGGTGCGTGGCAATTTGGCTGTCTGCCTGCTTTCCTCCCGTCCCGCCCCCCCACCTGCGTGCCCGCGCCCCCCTCCCCCTCTTGCCTGCTGCTGTCTTTGCTGCCATTGAAGGGTCTCTCCTCTCACCATCTGATTGAGTGGGTGTTTTCTTATTGTGCTGCCAATACACGTGTTGTGTCTGGCTGGTGTGCAAACTCCTTTGCCTCGCCACTGCTGTGGTCCGCACATTGCTTTCTGCTCGCTCTGCCTGCTTCACTCACTCCGACGTCCTCTCTGTCTTCCCCCTGTCTCCACGCCCTCTGTCTTCCCCCTGTCTCCACGCCCTCTGTCTTCCCCCTGTCTCCACGCCCTCTGTCTTCCCCCTGTCCCCACGCCCTTGGTCTCCCCCCTGTCTTCCCCACACCCCCCTACCCCTACCCCTACCTCCACCGCACCCCTGGCAGCGAGAGGGCTTCAGAGTGGACTACCACCGCCTGCCCACCACGGACGGGCAGCCGCCCAAGAGTCGAGACTTTGACGCCCTGGCCACCACCATCAGCAGTGCTGGCCCCCACGCTGCCTTCGTCTTCAACTGCCAGGTGCCATGATGTGTCCCTGCTCAAGCTGCAAGTGCAACCTTGTCTCCTCCTGGTCCTGTTGCTGCTGTTGGATGGCAGTGGAGTGTCGGTTTGCTTCCATCCTCCACTCAACCTTACTAGTCAACCTTACCTACCTTCCACCCCTCCTGCAGTCGTCCTTTCTCGTGTTCCTCTCCCTCTGCTCCCCATGTCCTCGTCCTTGTTGCTGCCGCCTCGCTTGGGCCATCTTTTGCCACTTCTGTCCTCTGCCCGCACCTCTTTCCCCTTTTCCCCCTCGCCCCCATCGTCCCCTAACCTCATGTTACTCCCTCTCCCCGCCACCCCCCCACTTCTTCTGCCCCCATGCCCTCAGATGGGTCGTGGTCGCACCACCACAGGCACGGTCATTGCTTCTCTCGTTCTCCTCCGCTGCCTCTACAGCCGCCCTCTGCGTCTGCCCTCGCTGCCCCCATCCCTCGCCCTGCCCTCGCAACTCCACCCCTGCACCAGCCAACCTTCTCCCCCGCGCTGCAGCCCCCGGAGCAGCAGCAGCAGCGGCAGTGAGAGGGGGCCTGGCAGCAGCAGCAGCAGCGGTGGTCAGAATAGTCACGACAGTATCAGTGGCGGTGGCAGCAATGATGAAAACGCTGCTATCAGCCGTGATGCTAACGAGGGTGACAGTAGTGGTGCCATGAACCCTGACTTGCAAGGGCTCAAGGCGTCGGAGCCACACAGCGGCTGGCGGCAGGAGGATGGCCCTGCGGTCCACCACACACCCTCCAGCCTCCGCAAGTGCTCCAGCGGCCAGCGGAAACGGCGGGCCACAGGGGATGCTGGAGCGGGCGAGGGAGGGAAGATTGTCGAGCGGAGGAGATCGGGTTCAGGCAACGGGAGAGAGGGGGGCGGAGGGAGAACGCATGAGGGCGAGGGCGAGGGCAGGGGTGGGGGAAGGGGGCGGGGCAAGGCGCAGAAGACATGGGTGGACGAGTTTGAGCTGGAGGATATCCCAGTGGTGCGCAAGGTAACCCGCATGCTGGATGGCGGCGCTGCTGCGCGGCACGTGCTGGATGGCGTGGTGGACCGCTGCGCGCAGATGCTCAACATCCGTGAAGCCATCCTCAGCTACCGCCGCGCCTTCAACATGCAGGTGAGGGTGCGGTGGGGACGTGATGCTGGGTGACCGATGCTGCACGCTGGCCGACTGCTTGCATGCCTTGGCAATGCGTCTCTGCATCCTGCACCACCTCCTGCGATTACATTGCTCACACCCGCCCTTGCGCCCCCACCCGCACTGGCAGGACGCGGATGCGCGCACGAGGCAGAGTGCTCTGAGCCGCGGTGCGGAGTTCCTGGAGCGCTACGTCATGCTCATCGCCTTCGCCTCCTACCTCTCCTCGCCTCTCTTCCGCCCCGCCGCCCCCTCCCTCTGGCCGCGCTCCTCCTCCTCCTCCTCTTCCTCTCTGCCCTCCATCCCCCCCTCCTCCTCACACACCGCCCTGCCCCGCCTCTGCCCCTCGCTGCCTGCTGCCACCAGCTCCTCTCTCACCGCTGCCACTGGTGAGGCTGCACGCTCAGATGCAGGGGAGGATGGTGCAGAGAAAGAGAGAGCAGAAGAGCAAGGTGGGGGGCGGAGTGAGCCAAAGCAGGCCAAGGTTAATGGAGAAGGAGAGGGGGAAGTGGAGGCGGTGAGCTTCAAGGCGTGGCTGAAGCGGCGGCCGGAGATCCGGCAGATGAAGTGGGGCCTGCGCTTGCGCCCTGCCCGCCTCTTCACCATTCCGGTGGGCTGCCCTGCCTCACCCTCATCCCCCAGGCGGGGCGTGTTGTCTGCTATGCCATACCATTTGTGGCCCATGTGGTGTAATCCCATGCCACTCCATTTCACCCACTACAATCGCATCCCAACCTGTCACATTCTGTATTGCCACATTGTATCTCATTCCAACCATTCGTTTTGCTATCTTCATGCATCACAGCCTCCCTCTCTCTCATGTTTTGATCCCTCACTAACTCCCCCTCCCTCTGTACCCGCTCAGGAGGTGGGCGTGCGGCTGCGAGACAGCGATGCGAGCGCCAGCGGGGCAGCGGGGGCGGGGGAGGAGAGGGAGGCGGAGGATGCAGTGTTGCGGGCGCGGCGAGGGGCAGTGCTGGGGCGCGGGTCCATCCTGAAGCTCTCTCTCTTCCCCGGGCTGCAGCCGTCCGCGCTCAACTACTCCATCCAGATCCCCCACGTCCCCAACTACTTCGAGGTCCGCTCCCACTCCCTCCCCTCCGCCCCTCGCCCTCTGCTGTCCCTCTTGCGTTCTCCCCAGTGTCTTCCTGGCCTTGTTCTGTTGCTCGTTCACTATGCATCTGACCACCTACCAGGCACACCCACCAGGGGCGCCCGCCTTTCGTCTCTCTGTTACAGCCCTCACTCCCCTCTCTCCTCGGCTCCTCTCGCCCTCACCAACCCCCTGTCCCTGCCAACTCACACACAGCATGGGCATGCCCACCCCACAGCACATGGCGTTTCTTCTGCCTCCTCTCATCCCATCATCCTCTTCGCCGCTCCCTGGGTCTCCCCTCCCCCCCCCCCCCCCCCCCTTTCACCCACCTCCGTCCCCCAACATCCCGCCAGGCCCCAGGGTATCCAGTGCACAGCATGGCAACACCCACGGTTCAGGGCGCACAGGCCGTGCTCGCCCACCTGGGCGCCGTGCCACAGCCCAAGCCACCACCCTCCACAACACCAGCCGACGGCACCGCTGGTGGCGAGGGCGAGACTGGGAGGGGGAGCGGGGAGCGGGATGCAAATGGGGAGGGGGAAGGGGGAGGGGAGGCGGATGAGAAGGCGGAAAAGAGGGAAGGGGCGGAGGTGGATGGAAAGGGGGGGCCGAGGGGGGAAGCGGAGGTGGTGATAGTGGACCTGCGCGAGGAGGCGGTGGTGTACGTGCATGGCAAGCCCTTTGTGCTGCGCGACGGTGACCAGCCCGCTGCTGCCCTCAAGCACGTGGGCATCGCCGGTGGTGCTGTGGTGGCCATGGAGGAGCGGCTCAAGGCAGACATCCTGCAGGAGGCTGCTCGGTGCGGTGGCATGGTGCTGCTGCACAAAGAGAGGCCCAGAGAGGGGCACGTGCTGCAGGGCGGGAGCAAGGGTGTGGACGCGGGTGGCAGTGAGAATGCGGTTGATGGAACTGCTTCTGCTGCTGGGGGAAGTGGCGGTGTGGAGAGTGGCTCTGCTCCTGCCGTTGCTGCTGGTGTCACGGTCAGTGGTGCCACTGCTGCAGATGGCGCTGCAGATGGCGCTGTTGCTGCTTTGCCTTCTGCTGCTGCAGATGACAGCACTGGTGCACAGCACACGGCAGGCAGCACAGCTGCTGACCCGCCTGCATCAGGTGCCGCTGTGCCGGTGGGCCCCACGGAGATCATCGGCGTGTGGCGTGCGGTGGGGCCGGATGACGTGAAGACGCCAGCACAGGTGTACGGCGAGCTGAGGGAGCAGCAAGGGTACCTCGTGGACTACCGGCGCATCCCCCTCACGCGGGAGAGAGTCCCCGTGGCCTCCGATGTCGATGCGCTGCAGCTCTACATTCAACGGTAAGCCCATCCTGCCATCTCCCTTGCCCACACCTAATCGATAGGGGGCCCATACTCCGTGTCCACGCCTAACTGACAAGGAGAGAATGTGTCGTGTTTCGTCTCGCAGCACCCTGTTGAGGTGAGACAAGCACGCCTATGCTGCAATGCCAAGTCGTGAGAGCTCTTGAAGGTTGGACAGTTTGTAGTGCAGAAAAAGCAACATTAGCTCCATCCATCACTCGCACTCTCCGTGCACCTTGCACACCTTCACAACTAAGTCGCCTCCTTCATTCCTTTCTCGACCCCTCCCTGCTCCCCACACTGTTCCCCACAACTCCCTGTCACCCTCATCTCATCGGCCCGCATCCCACCCACCTCACGCGGTCCACCACCGTGCACCCCACCACACTGCACCCCACCACACTGCACCCCACCACCCTGCACCCCGCCACCATGCACCCCACCGCTCTGCACCCCACCACCCCGCACCCCGCCACCATGCACCCCACCGCTCTGCACCCCACCACCCTGCACCCCACCAGCCGAGGCCCCAACGTGAAGTTCCTGTTTGTGTCGCACACGGGCTACGGCGCGATTGCATACGCCATGGCCCTCACGTGCCTGCACCTGCAGGCCACCACTCTCCCCTCGCCTGCTCCCCACGCCCCCTCTGCCGCCCCCTCATCACCCACCGCTGCTGCCACATCACCCACCACCCTCGCCAAGCCTGCTGCTGCTTCATCCATTCCGGTCCCCAAGGCTGGCGGCGGTGGGGGGGGGAAGGGGGAGTATCGAAACGTGCTGCAGCTGGAGCGGGTGCTGGTGAAGGGGCCGCACTGCAAGCGACTTGTGGATGCCGTCGCTCACAGGTGGGCAGCACACAGGTGGGCAGCACACAGGTGGGCAGCACACAGGTGGGCGGCGCACAGGTGGGCAGCGCACAGGTGGGCAGTACACAGGTGGGCGGCACATAGGTGGGAACACTTTGGAGGTGATGAGAATCACTAGGCTGTTGTACAGGGTTCGGCTGATTGGAAAGGCGAGAACAATAGCAGCATGTCTTGAATGTGCGTGAAGCAACAGGAGGATGAGGAGTCCACGGTCGAGAGGGTAGCACGGTGCCACTGACAGTCCTTTTCGCATGTGCGCGCTGTGCCTGCCCATGTGTGCTTTCCTTCCACCATGTCTTCTTCCCCCCCCTTTACCACTGTGTGTTCTCCCCTCCACCGTGTGTGCTCCCCACCCCACCACCATCTGTTCCCCCTCTCACCCTGCATCCCCCCCAATGCAGGCTGCTGGCGGTGGGGCGGATAGTGGAGGACGCGGGGGAGTACAGGAGGGCGGTGGAGGCGGTGCAGGGGGACAACACGGTGGATCGCGACAGGCGGGCGGCACTCACTGACATGGGCCTCAAGGCGCTCAGGTGAGGCAAGGCCCTGCTTGCTGTTGTCAATACTTGTTGCGGTATGCTATCTGTACGGATATGTTTTGCTAGCTGTATGGGTATGTTCTGCTTCCCAACTTTGTGATTCCACACAATGACGCAGCTATGCCAGTTTCGTGCTTTGCGCTAGCTGTCTATGTTGTCTATCCCTTTTGCTACCCTTCACTTATGGAGCCTCTCGTATGCGTTCTCTCAATTATTCTACTCCTTGACCATGATTTCCAGACATGTCTACGTATATTTACATCTACTGACACGTTTTTTGTGAATTCCACCTCCGTGAATTCCACCTCCCCTCCTCTCTTCCTTATCCCGCGTCCTTTGGGTGCAGGCGCTACTGTTACCTCATAGTCTACCGTTCCTACCTCTTCTCCAGGGCATCTGCCAGCGGTGCTGTCAGCAGCAAGGACAAGGCAGTGGTGGAGGCAGGGGGGGGCAAGGGAGGAGCAGGGGGCAGTGGGGAGTCGTTTGGCGCGTGGGTGGCGCAGCGGCCGGAAATAGAGCACATGCTACAGCACCTGGTGCTGGAGTGACGCACTGCAGGCCATGGACCTCAAGCCATGAGTCACTGCACTTGCCACGGACCACCCCACACAGGCCACTTGCCACTGGCGTTGGTCATGGCCGATGGGGCCCAAGTAAGCTTGCATGGCCTTGTTCTTGATGGCTCGTGAATGCGCTTGTGCTTTTGTAGGTATGAGATGCATTTATCGGTAGTACAGTAATAAGCCGGCTATAACAGGTACCGGTGAGCTGGTAAATTATTCAGACACTGTATACATGTTATGCAGTATTTGTTTTTATCAGTTCGTACTAACATATTCTATTAATACCTAGGCACCATACGGTTGGGTGTTGCTAAGTATGACAGCTTGGTTGAGATTACCGTCATCGCCCGGATATAAGACATAAATGTCTTATCTCGTACACGGGCAAAAATGCTTGAGTTATCTTGTAAACGGGATGGTTTAGGGTGTCTTATAAGTCTTATAAATGGAAAAAAAAAAATAAGTTGACTATAACACTTGCAAAGTGTGTAGAAACCACCCAAAGACCAATTTCATTTAAACAGGCCGACCTCGGTGGTGATGCATGCAGCGCCCACACTTTCCACGTGAGGGAGCTGCCACCGCTGGCAACATTCCTCTGTGCTGGCAGCATCTAATGATGCTGCCAGCGTCGTTTTGCTGCCAGGAGCGCATGGATGCTTCCAGAACGCTGCTGGCAGCACGTTGGCAGCGTGAGGGCTGTCCTCTACGAGGAGATGCCTCGTAGAGGAGCGGCTCGGCACCTGTGGATGGGGCACTCTGGCTGGGGGGGGTAGTCGGGCTCTCACTTCATTTCGTGCTCAAGGAGGTTGAATACTCGTCTCAACCTTGCTCTCGGCAGGCTCTCTAACCATGCGCAACAAAGTACCAGTAGGCAAGTCCTCACCTCGTCCTCACGTGCAGGTTAATAACTACGGGCGAATTAACTCGCCCGGCGATGACATCCGTGTAGCCATGGCGAAGAACGCGAGCAAGGCGGCAAGTCCTACCGCCGCCTCCGGTGCGAGCTGTGACGGGGACGACGGAGACGAAGCGAACGGCGACGACGCCGAGGAGGATTGGCCGGAGAACGGCCACGACGACAGCGCTTCAGGCGACGATGTAGGTCCTGCTGACATCGAGGAGGACGACTGGTGGAATCGGCCGGTCGGGAGCGACGACGAGGTGGAAGAGTGGCATGCTGGTGATTCCGACAACGACGGAGGTAAAGATGCGCATGGTAACAACGCGGAGGCAGCGGCGGATGCACAGGAAGCGGCGGTGGATGCGAATGAGGAGGCTGACGACGAGGCGGGGGCGGAACTTGAGACATTTGCGCCTGCGGATGCGGCCGCAGTTGCGGATGCGGAAGGCGAGGAAGGCGGCGACGACGACCCATGGAGCTTTGGGACCGACGACGACGTCCCGCTACTGAAGCGGAGGCTGCGCCATCGCCTACAGTCCAAGTCAAAGCGGGCCCGCGTGGTGCTCTCTGACGACGACGGTCCGGGGGAGGAGCGTCGCCCGATACTCACCGCTGCGGAGAAGGGGAAAGCCAAGGTCGCGGAAGCCCCTGCTAAGGCCCCTGCTAAAGCCCCTGCTCGTCGCCGCACAAGCAACAAGAAGCTGACATCCGACGGAGACCCGGGATCCAGCAAGGGTGCGGCTAAGAAGAAGGCGAAGAAGGTGTCGAATCCTGACGACATCGTCGTGAACGAACCGCTTGGCAGCGACGATGAGTACGCGGCGGCGGCGGGCCCGATTCCCACGTTCCCTGAGAAGGTAACGCCGAGGGACCCCACCCTCCATAATCCCAACACCCGCCCACCTTCCCCTCGCAGCAAAGACACTACGAAGAAGCGCCGCAGTTGGACCGTGCGTGAGAAGCTTAAGTGGGCGCGCCGCTAACAGGAGCTCGGCTCCTTGAAGAAGACGAGCGTGGAGTCAACTGCGTCCATCGCCTGCATCAGACGCTGGTGTGCGGAGGCGGAAGCGGGCGTCTACAAGGGCGCGGCCAACTGCCGCAAGCGGATGCACGGGGGGGGGCGCCACTCACACTACCCCGACATGGAGGCAGCGTTGTACCGCTACATCTGCCTTCAGCGCGCTAACGGGGTGGCCATCTCGGTGAAGGACACCCAGAAGTGGAGCCGCGAGTGGATGAAGAAGCATTACCCCGGCAAGAACTGGAACGCGAGCTCTCACTGGAGCCAGCGTTTCTGTGACCGCTGGAACCTGGTGATGCGGGTGAAGACCAAGGTCGGCCAACGTCTATCGGCAGGTGCGTGTTGAAGGATTTCGTCTGGCGCTCTATTGAATGCATGTACATCACCCAGTGTCTAACCATCCCGTGCTTTCGTTGCGCTTGTCCCGTTTGCAGAGTGCGCGAAGGACTGCGAATCCTTCTGGAAGTTTGTGCGCATCAACAGGGCGTGGCACAAAATCGACCTGGCCCGCATCATCAACGCGGACCAGACTCTACTATTCGTGGAGATGCCAGCCGAACGGACGATCGAGCACCGAGGCGCGCGCTCGGTCCCAATCCGCACTGCAGGCTACCAGAAGACGCGCTTGACGGTGATGTTCGCGTGCACTGCATCCGGGGAGAAGCTGCGGCCGTGGGTGTGGTTCAAGATGAAGAACGTCCCCAATTGTGAGATTCCGGAAGGTAAGCGAGCGTGAATTCAACCGTGCGACTGCCTGATGAGCGTGCCCCACTGTGCTTATGCCCGTCTGTCCCTTGTGTGCCTGGCAGGAATCGTGGTCCAAGCATAGGACAACGGGTGGATGGACGAGACCGCTGTGCAAACCTGGCTGTCCAAGGAGGTGCTGCCCCATCTGAACCCCCAGCGCGGCCAGAACGCAAGGCGGGCGATGCTGGTGTTGGACTCCTACCGCGGTCACATCACCCAGACCATGCTTCAGTCGTACCACACGCACAGCATCACCCCTGCAGTCATCCCAGCGGGTTGTACGAGCCAGATTCAACCCCTGGACGTCTCCATCAACCGGTGCTTCAAGGCTGCTGTGCGAGCGCGCTACGCCAGGTGGTTCATGCGTGAAGGGATTCACCTGAAGACGAAGAAGGGTGAGTTGGTCCTTCATTTACGGTTTTATTCATGTTCTGTTTCGTGTCCTTGTCTTAAACATGCTCCTTCATATCCATGTCTCTTACATCTCGCTGCCCCGTCCTCTGTCCCACCCGCAGGGAACCTGCGGAGGCCTCCGCACCCCGTGGTGCTGCAGTGGATCGCGGAGGCTTGGGATCAAGTCCCCAAGCAGATCATCATCGACGCGTTCCGCCACTGTGGGATCTCGAGCAAGCTGGACGGAACAGAGAACCACCTGGTGATGTCTCACCTGCGCGCCAGGAGCACCACCGATGTCTCCGCGGACATGTCTCTCGGGGGGACCACATGCGACAACACGCGCCTGCTCGGTCGGGCTCCAGAGGAGGAGGAGGAGGAGGAGGAGGAGGAGGAGGAGGAGGCGATGCAGGCGGAGGGTGTGCGGGAGGTGGCCGTGGCAACCGGCCTGGAGGTGCTGTACCAGGAGACCCCCAACTACCGCGGAGCGGCGGCCGAGGCTGACCGCATGATCGAGCCTAGGGAGACGGCTAGGCATGCCTGGCGAGTGCCAGACCTGGGTGTAGAGCCTGATGTTAGTGCAGGTGAGGAGGCGGTGACTGAGGGGGGTTAGGTAGAAGTAGAGATTCCTGACTGTATGCATGTACCCCCCTAAAGTAGGAAAGCTAGCTAAGAAGACACCCCCTGTTTATAAGAAAACCCCTAAACCCTGGTTCTGATTATGACATATATGTCTTAACTCGTACACACAAATAGGTGTCGTATAAAAAGGCTAGCTTGTTTATAAGAGACACCCGTATAGTAGACAACCCCTGTCTACTATTCAACACTGTCTTATATCCGGGCGATGACGGTACTACCGTACACTCTGAATTTCAATTCGTCTATAAGTGCCCCCTAAAGGGTGTAGAAAGATAGAAATACAGGGGTGCGTCTTGAACCTAACGAACTTACCGTCAGCACACAGGTACTGTATATACGCAGCACCTATCATAGGCACATACGCCAAACTTTTTATTTAATAAAGGTGATTGATATACTACACCGAGACAGCAAGTGTACATGATAAAAAAGTCATGACTGTGCATGAGAGGTGACCAGGCCGTCTCCGCTGTGGTTTCTATGGAGGACGGTGGTTTGTCTGTGGTAACTGCCAGATGGTAGAGAATGCAATGTTCCATTGCTGTTGTTGTCTGTTAGTCTGCTTATCAGCCTTCTTTCCTCCCTTGCGCGCCAAAATCTGCCCTTCCGAACCGAGCACTGTCAAAACTGATTTACATGTATGTAGGTTGTAGTGGGGTAGCACATATAAATACAACACTTTTAGGGTTTGGTACTTGTACTTTCTTTCCAGACTAGTGAAATCATTCCAGCCTAAGGGTACATTCCGCTGTTGACACATGTCCCAATCGATGTGTCCCAATCGTTTCTACCGCACTGCATCGTATTACACTGAATTGCACCCTAGTTTCGAAATTTTCGCGTCTCTGGTTTAGTTCGGTTCGGAGCGGTACACTCGATTGGGACACATCGATTGGGACATGTCTCCACAGCGGAAAGTACCCTAATACCGTAGATTTCAACATGGTATCAGAGCAGTAGGTCCGTATGACCGTCCTTTTTTTCCGGGCCCACCATCAACTGAACTCCTGGCCCTGTGTCTCCTTGCTGGAGACCTCGCCGACACTACGTTGGACAGGAGAGGTTGGCGATGCGTCAGTTTTCCGGGTCTGGGGATTTCATGCCTTTATCCGCGATACTTACGTGGATCAGCTCTCCGCTCGTGCCGTTCCCTGTGTCTTCCTTGGTTTTCCCCTGACGCGCCTGGTTGGCAGTTTTACCACCCCACCACGCGCCGTGTTCTGTTCTTTCAGGACGTCACGTTTGACGAGTCGGTTCCCTTTTACCGTCTCTTCCCCTACCGCACTGCCCCTCCCCCTCCCTCGCCACTCTTCCTTGCTCCAGGTCCCCCTCTGGTAGACCCCCTCCCCCCTCAGGGTCCTGCACCTTCAAGTGTGTCTCAAGTAGACCCACTCCCCTTGGTTGAGCTTGTCGAGGTCATTGGTGACTCTGGTGCTGCTGGGGGTGCTGAGCCTATGCGCGAGGAGCCTGGGGGTGCTGAGCCTGAGCGTGTGGAGCCCGGGGGTGCGGAGCCCGGGGTTGCGGAGCCTGGGGGTGCGGAGCCTGGGGGTGCTGAGCCTGGAGCTCCTAAGGCTGGAGGTGCTTGAGCTACTGCTGGTACTGGAGGACGCGGAGGAGCTGGAGCTACTATTTCTGGAGGTGCTCGTATTGGAGGTACTGGAGCTGCCGAAGCTGGTGGTCCTATCGGTACTGGTGGTGCTGGTGGTACTGACGCTGCTAGTCCTAGAGGTGCTAAATCTGGAGGTGCTCTCTCGCTGCAGTAGCTACGCGAGTGGTACACTCAGCACTGCCGTCTTCGGAGTGGCGCTGCTGGGGCTGGAGGCGCTGCGGCAGGAGGTATGGGAGCTGGAGTTACTGGAGCTGCCGGAGCTGGTGGTGCTGCTGACTCTCGAGCTGGAGGCACTGGAGCTGTAGGCGCTGGAGCTGGTGACCCGGGAGGTGGAGGTGCTGGAGCTGGAGGTGCTGGAGCTGGTGACCCGGGAGCTGGAGGTGCTGGAGCTGGAGGCGCTGGAGCTGGAGTTTCTGGAGCTGCTGGAGGCCCTGGAGCTGCTGGTACTAGCACTGGAGGTGCTGGGGCTGGAGTCTTGGAGCTGCTGGAGACCCTAGAGCTGCTGGTACTAGTACTAGAGGTTCTGGTGCTGGAGGAGCTGGTGCTGGTGGTGCTACACGGCCGCATCTGTTCTTCGCTCCGCCGTCACTGTCGTCTCTGCCGCCGCCTGGCTTGGTGCTTCGCCATGTTCTTAGCCTCCCGTTCTCTACTGGTCTCCCGTTACAGCCAGGCTCCCCACTGCCTGCTCCCTCTCCTTACATTGAGCAGACTGACTCGCTTACAGAGCGTAGTGTCAGAACATTATAGCTTATGCTTTTGTGTAGGCTATAGTGGGGTATCCCATAGGGGGTACAACCCAATTAGGGTTAGTACTTGTACCCACTTCATTCATAGTTCATTCATTCTCGTTCTCATTTTCTCATGGTATCGAGCAGGTTCCCTCGTGGGAACTGTTCCTAGGGCCCACGGATCCTCTTTTTTTCCTGCCCGGGGCGCGTCCTGCCCCTGCCCGAAGCGCGCATAGGGTCGCCCCCTTCTTAGCGGCCCGTCGCGTCGCCCTTAGCGGCCCGTCGTGCCGCCCTTAGCGGCCCGTCTCGTCGCCCTTAGCGGCCCGTCGCGCCGCCCTTACGACCGCGTCGCGCAGCCCTAACGGCCGCGTCGCGCCGCCCTTTCCCAAGCGGCCCGTCGCCGCCCTTCTCACAGCTCCGCCGTCCCGTTACACGGCCCCGCCGCCCTCTCCTGCGGCCCGCCGCCCTCAACTGCGGCCCCGCCGCTTTCACCTGCGGCCCCGCCGCTCTCGTTGGCGGCCCCGCCGCTCTCACCTGCGGCCCCCCCCCTTTCACCTGCGGCCCCGTTGCTCTCGTTGGCGGCCCCGCCGCTCTCACCTGCGGCCCCGCCGCTCTCACCTGCCCCCCCCCCCCCCCCCCCCCCCGCTCTCACCTGCGGCCCCGCCGCTCTCATCTGCGGCCCCGTCACCTGCTGCAGCGCCGCCCGCCACCCGGGCTTCCCGACCCGCCCTGCAGCTGAGCCGCCCAGCAGCCGAGCCGCCGTACAGTCGAGCCGCCGGACCACCGAGCCGCACTGCAGCCGAGCCGCCCAGCCGCCTAGTAGCCGAGCCGCCGATCTGCCGAGCCGCCCTACTGCCGAGCCGCCCGAGCTGCCCTGTCCGGTGAGCACAGTGCCTCTTTTGCTGCACTGCCCTCACCCTACTGTTGCATTACTATTCTACTGTGGTCATGGCTACCCCTATTGTCCTCGCTTTTGACGGTGAGGGTCGCGCCATTGACTTTGACGTCTGGGTAGATGACCTGCAGCTGTTCTTACAGTGCGATAGGGCAGACGGTCTCTCTCTCTTTGACCTCACCTCTGGCGCCTCTCCTGCCCCTGCTGCTGATGCTGACGCCACTGTTCGCTCACAGTGGGCCATGCGCGACGCTGCTGCACGTCTTGCTGTGCGTCGCCACCTCCCTACCTCCGAGCGTGCGCACTTTAGTCAGTACAAGAGTGCTCAGACCTTGTACGACGCTGTAGTTGCGCGCTACTCCTCCCCTGCCACTGCTGCACTGAGCCGTCTCATGCTACCGTACCTCTTCCCTGACCTTGCTGCCTTTCCCACAGTCGCTGACCTCATTACGCACCTCCGCACTAGTGACACTCGCTACCGCGCTGCGCTTCCTGCTGAGTTCTGCGCCAAGAACCCCCCCCCCCCCCATGTACATCACTCTCTACTACATAGTCACTCGCCTCCCTGACTCCCTTCGCGTAGTCAGGGACCACTTCCTCTCAGTCTGTCCCACCACTCTCACTGTTGACCTCCTCGAGAAGTCCCTCCTAGTGGCTGAGAAGAGCATAGTCGCTGTAGGAGCCTCTCGTGGTGACCCGCGCACCCCCATCTTTGAGGGGTGTTCCCCCTCCCCCCTTCTGCCCTCTGTTGCCTCTGCTGCTGCGGCCGGCCTCCTTGGTCTTGAGTCGGTCGGTGCGGCGTCTGCTCCTAGCGGGAGACGCCGCTCTGGCAAGGGCAAGGGGGGCAGGGGCACCGGAGGAGCGAGCGGGGGCGGTGGAGGTGGAGGTGGAGGCGGCGGGGGGAGTGGGGGTGGCGGTGGGAGTGGAGGTGGGGGTGGAGGTGTCGGTGGCGGCAGTGGAGGCGGAGGCGGCGGAGGCGGCGGAGGTGGTGGCGGTGGAGGAGGCGGCGGAGGCGGCGGTAGTAGCAGAGGCAGCGGAGGCGGCGGGGGTGGCGGTGGAGCTGGTCGCGGGTCTACGCAGAGGAGTGGCTCCGATGGTGGTCCGCGCCAGCAGCAGCAGCGCGGTCGTGAGACCCTGTCCCCTCAGCAGCTCCGTGAGTGGTACACTGCACGCCAGCGGGGTGGGGGTTTTGGTCCGTGCACCTACGTCCTGCGCACCGGCGACCGTGCGGGTGAGCAGTGTGGGGGTGCGCACCCCACCCAGCGCTGCTTTGGCCGCCTGACGGACGCGTGGCGTCACCAGTTCCCGGAGGCCACAGAGATCCCTCGCTGGGGCGAGCTGTCTAGGGCAGGAGTTGCCATCTATGATCTTGATTTTGATGCTATCTAGGGCCCATCTGCGGCCCCGTCACCCTTGACTCTGGGGCTTCTCGCTCATTGTTTCGGGACCGCACCACACTCACGCCGCTTAGTCGGCCGGTTGCAGTGTCTCTGGCTGACCCCTCTGGGGGTCCTGTCCTGTCTCACTTCTCCACAGTCCACCCTTGTCCGGCGGCTCCCTCTGGCACCCTGTCTGGTCTCTACCTCCCCTCGTTCTCTACAAACCTGGTGAGTGGTGCTGACCTACAGGATGGGGGAGTACACCAGTTCACTCCTGCGCGTCAGCGGGTAACGCACTGCACAGAGTCTAGCACAGGCCAACACCTGGCTACGTTTACCCGTCAGCCGGGGTCGAGCCTGTACACAATGACCACTGCGTCTCCTCCAGTTGCTGAGTTTGGTAGGGTAGCTGCGTCGGGTCAGGTGTTTGCTGCGGCGTCCAGGTCTGGTCCTGAGTCTGCCCCCTATTCGTGTCGTCTCCTGTCTCACGAGACTCTCCTTTGGCACCACCGCCTTGGTCACCCCTCTCTGCTTCGGCTCAGAGGCATGGCCTCTCGTCTTCTTGTTCCTGGTCTCCCCCGGTCCCTCCCTCCCCTTCCTCAGGGCCCTGGCCCTACCTGTGTCCCCTGTCTCAAGGGGCGCCAGCGGGCTGCCCCTCACTCCTTCCAGTTTCCTCCGACAGAGGCCCCGCTGCAGACGCTTCACATGGACGTAAGGGGCCCAGCCCGCGTCCGTGGACAAGGTCACGAGCGCTACTTCCTGCTCGTTGTTGACGACTACTCGCGTTACACCGCGGTCTTCCCCTTGCGCAGCAAGGGTGATGTCACTGAGGTGCTGATCGATTGGATCCGCGCAGCTCGTCTCCAGCTGAGGCAGAGCTTTGGCTCAGACTTTCCTCTTCTGCATCTGCACTCGGACAGAGGCGGAGAGTTTTCCTCTGGCCTTCTGAGAGCCTACTGTCACGCACGAGGCATCCGTAAGACCTTCACGCTTCCGGACTCCCCGCACCAAAATGGGATTGCTGAGCGCCGCATTGGCACGGTCATGGACGTCGCTCGTACATCTATGATGCATGCGGCTGCTCCCCATTTTCTGTGGCCGTTTGCGGTGAGGTACGCGGCGCATCAGATCCACCTACACCCCAGGGTCTCCAGGCCGGAGACCTCCCCAGCCTTGCTGTGGACGGGGAAGGTTGGCGATGCGTCTACGTTCCGGGTCTGGGGATCTCGGGCGTTTGTCCGCGACTTGTCTGCGGACAAGCTGTCCCCTCGTGCTGCTCCTTGCGTCTTCCTGGGGTTCCCCCCTGACGCGCCTGGGTGGCAGTTCTACCACCCCACCTCTTGCCGTGTTCTGTCCTCCCAGGACGTGACGTTTGACGAGTCGGTCCCCTACTACCGCCTCTTCCCCTACCGCACTCCGTCCCTCAACCCCCCCCCGCTCTTCCTTGTGCCAGTTCCCCCCCCGGTAGACCCCCTCCCCCCTCAGGGTCCTGCCCCTTCAGGTGTGTCCCAGGTAGACGCAGTCGAGCCTGTCAAGGTTACTGGTGACTCTGGTGCTGCTGAGGGTGCTGAGCCTGGGGGTGCTGAGACTGGGGGTGCTGAGCCTGGGGGTGCTGAGCTTGGGGGTGCAGTGCGTGGGGGTGCTACGCCTGGGGGTGCTGTGCCTGGGAGTGCTACACCTGGGGGTGCTGAGCCTGGGGGTGCTGAGCTTGGAGGTACTACGCCACGAGGTTCTCCGGTTGCTTCGTCTCTGCGGGAGCCACTCTCTCCACAGGAGCTGCGCGAGTGGTTTGCCCGGCGCTGGAGCCGTGCTGCTGGTGCTGGAGGTTCTTCGGCTACTGAGGGTGCTGCTGTCGCGGGTCCCGGAGGTGCTCGTACTGGGAGTAGTGGAGCTGCTGGGCCTGCGGATACTTCTGGAGCTGGTGCTGCTGAGGGTGTTGGCGCTGAGACTACCGCTGGCGGTCCTGCTGGGGGTACTCCTGGTGCTGCTGGAGGTTCTAGAGCTACTAGAGGTGCTGCTGGAGCGGGTGCTCCTGCTGGGGGTACTGGTGCTATTCCTGCTGTGTCTGGCGTCGCCACGCGGCCTCGACCGTACTTCGTTCCACTCCTGCAGCAGGTTTTTGGTCTTCCACCTTCTACTGGTCCTCCTCCTCCCTTAGAGTGTCCACAGCCTGTCCCGTCACAGTTACAGTTGCAACCTACCTCCCCTTTGCTTGCTCCTTCTCCCTACACTGGTCCTACTGGAGGTCTTGCTGAGCGTCGTGAGCCTACGTCTCGCCCTACGTCGCCTGTCCGTCCTGCTCGCGCTAGTGGTCGTGGTTCGCGTCACCTTCCTCCTCCTGTCCGTGGCACGCACCGGATGTCTCTGCGTCCGTCCACTGCTCCTCTGCGTGCCCCTTTGCCTTCTCCTCCTGAGTCCTCTCTTCCTCCTCTTGCCGACCCGGAGTCGGACTCTCTTCGTGCTGCCAGTCCTACTGTCACGCGTCTCCTGGCTACTGTCGTTACTGAACCTTCTTTCGAGTGCACAGCTGCGTCTGCCCTAGTTGCTGAGCTTGTCGACTTTGCTGCTCGCTGTCGCCTAGACTACGCTGCTAGTCTGGTCGCTGAGTCTGAGTCTGTCTGTCCTCCGTCCGTCGGGGGTGAGTGTGCCCTTGGCACGGACGTCCTTGAGGACAGGCAGGAGGAGTTCCAGAGTCTGGCAGTTGCTTCACCTCATCTCGTGTCCGTACTGCTTACCCCTGAGGGAGACCCGGATGCACTTGACATCCCGACTCCGCGCTCCTACGCGGAGGTGATAGAAGGTCCCTACTCCTCTCAATGGCAGGCAGCTATGGACACAGAGATGGCTTCCTGGAAGTCCACAGGCACCTACGTTGACGAGGTTCCCCCGCCTGGGGCGAACATCGTCAGTGGCATGTGGATCTTCAGAGTGAAGCGGCCGCCGGGTTCTCCGCCTGTCTTCAAGGCACGTTCCGTGGCTCGTGGCTTCAGTCAGCAGCAGGGAGTTGACCACTCTTCAGGTACTGTTGCACGTTGCTGCTCACCGTGACTACGAGCTGCACTCTCTCGACTTTAGCACAGCTTACTTGCAGGGCAGCCTGCACGAGGAGATCTGGCTGCGCCGCCCACCTGGCTTCACTGGGTCGTTCCCTCCTGGTACCCAGTGGAGCCTCTGGCGTCCAGTTTACGGTCTCCGCCAGGCGCCACGTGAGTGGCACGACACACTGAGGACTACACTTGCGGCTCTTGGGTTTGCTCCTTCTACTGCCGACCCGTCGTTGTTTCTACGCACCGACACCTCTCTGCCGCCGTTCTACATCCTCGTGTACGTCGACGACTTGGTCTTTTCCACAGCTGACACTGCTGGACTCGCCTACGTGAAGTCCGAGCTGCAGAAGAGACACACGTGCACAGACCTGGGTGAACTGCGCAGCTACCCTGGCTTGCAGATCACCCGGGACAGAGCACGCCGCACCATTACCCTGACTCAGTCACACATGGTGCAGCAGGTCCTTCAGCGCTTCGGCTTCACGTACTCCTCGCCTCAGGCCACTCCTCTGCCTACTCGCCACTCGCTCTCAGCTCTGCCTTCGGATGAGTCCGTAGAGTCGAGTGGCCCGTATCTAGAGCTTGTTGGCTGCCTCATGTACCTGATGACCTGCACACGACCTGACCTTGCATACCCTCTTCGCATTCTCGCACGCTATGTTGCTCCTGGGAGACACCGACCTGAGCACATGGCTGCAGCGAAGAGGGTGTTGCGCTACTTGTGCAGTACGTCGGGCATGGGGCTAGTGCTTGGAGGGCGCAGTCCAGTGGTCCTCATTGGGCACGCAGACGCTTCTTGGGCTGACGACCAGGCTACGCTGCGGTCGTCACAGGGTTACACCTTCAGCCTTGGTTCCGGCTCTGTCTCGTGGCGGGCTACTCGCTCGTCTTCTGTTCTCGGCTCCAGTTGTGAGGCTGTGATCTACGCCGGGGCCATGGCTGCACAGGAGCTTCGCTGGCTCACCTACCTGCAGACTGACCTCGGAGAGCCGCCTCGTTCTCCTCCAGTGCTGTACGTAGACAACAAGGCCATGCTGGCCTTGTGTCGAGAGCAGCGACTGGTGCACAGAACAAAGCACATTGCTCTCCGCTACTTCCTTGCTCGTGAGCTACAGCAGCGTGGACAGTTGCGGCTTGCGTACGTGGCCTCTGAGGCCAACACTGCTGATGTTTTCACCAAGGCACTTCCGCCTTGTGATCATCAGCGCTTCTGCACTCAGTTGGGTCTTGTCCTTGTCTTGCCTCACTTGCTCACCTCTTGACCTTGCTTGTACTGTTACATATATATATACCTGCTCTTGCTTGTCTAGCCTTATATATATATGTACTCCTGCATGTGAACTGGCCTTGTGGCTTTGTACTTGTGCTCGGAATGTGTGGTGACTTTGTGATCCACCCTGAGCTTTGCTTTGTTTTGCTTTGCTTGACTGGTCTTGTGACCCCCTGTTCTCCCCCACTTTGCCTATGGGGGTGTGTCAGAACATTATAGCTTATGCTTTTGTGTAGGCTGTAGTGGGCTATCCCATAGGGGGTACAACCCAATTAGGGTTAGTACTTGTACCCACTTCATTCATAGTTCATTCATTCTCGTTCTCATTTTCTCACGTAGTGAGCCTGTGTCTCGTCCTGTCTCACTTGTTCGCGATGTTCGCACTCGACGCCGTGTTCCTCGTGAGCGTCCTCCTCTTGTCCCCGGCACGCACACTATGGCACTTTGTCTTTCCTTTGTTCCATAGCGTGTTCCCCTGCCGTCTCCTCCTGCATCCTCTCTTCTGCACGTTCCGGACCCTGAGTCTGACCTAGTTCGTGCTGCCAACCCTACTGTTACGCGTCTCTTAGCCACTGTATTCACTGACCCTTCGTTTGAGTCCATTGCTGATGCGTCTGCCTTAGTCGCTGAGCTTCTTGACTTGGCTGCTGCTTGTCGTCTTGACTACGCTGCTAGTCTTGTTGCTGAGTCTGA